ATCCAATCATAAACACTACATATACTTAGTGCATAGAAATCAATACACATGAGCTCAGTGTTAATTTTATTTTTGTCCATCATTTGGCAATAAGGTGCTATTTTCCCTTTTAAACTTTGAGAAGAGAAAAAACAATAATACTTATGGTTTGGATATTGATATTTATAAAAAATTAAACATGACATGAGTATTTGCCTGTATTTGTAACAATCAGATCTACTTAAAGCATAAAATTACCTTTTATTTGATAGACCAGCATATGTATAGCACAACAGTATGCTGTCAGAATCATACACGTAGCTCAAAATTTCTATTGACATAAGGGTATCAAATCAATATACAGTAACAGGAAATATTTTAAAAATTGAATGGCCTTATGGGCTTTACGGCTTAATGTGTTTGGCTCACTGTAATTCTCACAGGAATAAAAGCATCAAAAACTACATTGGATTGTTTACATAACTCCACTCCAACTCACTAAGTCGATTTACTTTCACTTTTGATTTAGTCCGAAGTAAAACAGAAGTTCACTTGGTAGTAATGGACAGCCTAGCTGGAGCTGTCTTCCTTGTTGCCTTATTCTTTTTTGGTTTTGGGCAAACTAATGAGTGTCCATTTGCCTCTACTACAAAATTAATAAAAGTATCCAAACTTTACTGCAGTGGTATCCAAGAAAGTCATGAGAAGAATCTTCACCAATATCAGGGAATCACACGTGGGAGGAATGAAGTAGATTGGGATCGCTGTCTACTTGATGTTTTTCAAAACATAGCAAATAACACAGAAGTATCCATAGAAGCAGCCACCATTAATCTAAACCACAGTACATTTGAAATCACAGATAAGGTAAATATCACATTAACAGGAAAAGAATTAGGATTGAATTTATATCCTAATATTTCTTGCGATGAAAGCAACTTTGTCTTCAAAAACATAAACAACTTGTGCATTCAAAACCTGTTGTTTTATAAGTGTGGCATCAAGGATAATATAAATTCAAGTTTGACAGTTGATAAGTGTCACAATGTCACTATAAATCAAGTAGAAATAGAAAACAGCAACAATCTTGGGCTTACTTTTTGGAATACAACAGGCCAGAATACAATCAAGAATAGCGGATTCACATCAAATGGCAACAAGAAGTTCGTACCAAACGGAGGTGGAGCATTCATTTATCTTAAAAATGTTGCAGCCACTGCTACATACAATGTTTCTCGATGTGTGTTTAATAACAACACAAAAAAACTATCACATATTAAAAAAGTGAGTGATCATGGAGGAGGCCTCATGATATACTTAAAAATGATACTTTACTCTGTGATCGTGAACATAACTGAGTCTTCATTTATAGAGAACACAGCCAGAAATGGTGGAGGGAGTTCGATTGACCTTTACAATTGTAACAAGTGCAAAATATTTGTAAAAGACTGTGTATTTTACAAAAACAAAGTTAATAGCTTAAATTCCAATGGCGGAGGGCTTCAAATATATGTGTATCAGAATGAAAATAGCATAATCCAAGTAATTGGCTGTAATTTTACACGAAACAGAGCATACTTTGGAGGAGGTCTGAGTATTGATAGCTATCATAAGAATAGGCTAGATCTACTAATTGAAAACTGTACATGGACATACAACAATGCCACATCAGGTGCTGCCGTTGATATATTATATTCTCGTAGCTTCCATAGAAACCCACCAGTAGTAAGTGTCCCAGTTTTTAAAAATTGTACTTTTCTTGAAAACACAATTTCTTCTCAGCCAGCAAAAGAAAGAAAATGGCTTAGAGTTGGAAATGGAGTCTTTACTGTTACAGCGATTGATGTCAAGTTTGAATTAAACATTAACTTCACAGAAAACACTGGCTCAGCAATCAGTGCAACAGAGTCAACTTTAATAGTTAACAATGAGACCAGTTTGATTTTCAGTGGCAATACAGCAACCAGTGGAGGAGCAATATCACTCAAATCTGCTAGACTTCTTATATACAGTAATACATCTATATGGTTCATTTCAAATTATGCTCTTAAATATGGTGGAGCTATTCACTCGTTTGTTATAGATGATCATTTGTTATACAATCCATTCTCCTGTCCTTTTATCTTTGTTAGCTGTATACCAACAGCTGAAAAAGATTGTAATGCTTCGATACATTTCACAAACAATACAGCACACAGTGCTGGTCATTCAATATTCCTTTCATCATTGCTACCTTGTCAGTATGAATACCATGATTTAGATGGAAAAAAAATAAATGGGACAGAGGTATTTTCTTTAAAGCCATTTATTAATGAGAGTGGTGAATTAGATGTGAAAACAACTGCTGCTACAATTGATCCTCCCAATTATCACATCAAACTTTATCCTGGGCAGTCTACATCAATGAATCTTACAATAAAAGATGAACTGGGTAATTTCGTTAATAAAAGTCTGACAATTCTTGAGGCTACAATTCCCAATGAACAAGGACATGGTCTAACACTTAAAGACATGTACATATATGATTACACCTTCACCATTTTAGGAAACCCAAAGCAGAATGCTACTGTACAATTTGTAACAATCACCAAACCATTGATAGTGATAACAAGAGATATAACAACAATGGAATGCCCTCCAGGGTACATGTATGAATCAAGCACAAGAAAGTGCAGCTGTTCCTATACAATGTTTTATGGAATGACTAATTGCAGTAACAATGATAATTTCAAATCTTACATCATGAAAGGAATATGGTGTGGCTATGTTGATAATGAAACCTTTGTATCAGGAGAATGTGCCTTTGGATGCAAAAATCGCCACAAAGAGATGAGTATTCCTTTCGAAAAAATTAAAAATAGAAATAATACTATCTTCTGCAGTAAAAACAGAGAGGGTGTTCTTTGTGGACGATGCAAGGAAAACCTCACTGTATATTTCCATAGTGATGACTATTACTGTGGCCATGAAAATCACTGCTCTTGGGGATGGTTGATATTCATTGCTTCTGAACTACTGCCAGTAACAGTGATATTCATTGTTATTATAATAACAGGGTTCAATGTCACCAGTGGATATGTGCAAGGATTCCTACTGTACTGTCACATAATCTGCTCCTTCTCTGGATCAGGCAATGGGACTTTGAAAAGAGACTGGGAATTATATAAATTTTACAAAAGATTCTTACACTTATTCTACTATCCTTTCACCCTGAAGTTCTTCCATTTTAGAAGCACCAATTTCTGTGTCTTTCCAAAGGCAACAACATTGGAAATAACTGCGTTAGGCTATGTAAGGGGTATCTACTGTCTCATTTTAATATTTTGTGTCACATTCTTTTTGAGATGCTTTGTAATTCGATGTCGCATAGTAAATCGATGGATACGCTATACCACAACAAAGAACTTAGGACTCATTGGGATATCAGCATTACTGGTACTGTCATACACAAGTGCCACTGAAGTATCACTCCTAATATTACAAATGTCAATATTGTACAAACTTAATCTATTCCAAGACAGCATTAGAGTAGCATTGTATGGAGATATAAAGTACTTCAGTCCTTATCACATGATATATGCAGTACCAGCTTGTATATGTCTAGCAGTATTGCTAGTACCAGCATTGATGCTCTTCACTTATCCTCTTGTATTGAATATACTGTCTTATTTTAAAATTGATGCAGGTCAGTCACGGATTGGTATTATTTGCACCAAGGGCTACATGTATACTAAACTAAAGCCTTTCTACGATATGTTTTATGCCAGTTTTAAGGACAAGCATCGTTACTTTGCTGGCCTCTACTTCATTTACAGGGCCGCCATTCAATTCGCATATTACATTCCAAGTCCAATTGAAGTCACTTACACCATTGAATTCCAACTGATTGTGATATTGGTGCTTCATTCACTTGTTCAGCCTTACAAGAAAAAATCCCACAACTTTATTGATGGCCTTCTTATAGGAAACTTGATTATCGTCAATGGAATCATATGCATCAATACGGCTGTATACAACAGTAATCAGTACTTTTGGAAGGTCAAAGTTGCGGTCGTCTTTCAAGTCATACTATCAATGCTACCGATGGCAGTGGTGCTGGGTTATATTATGTGGTACTATGTACTACTAAGGATATGGAGGAAGATGAAAGACTATAGGTTGCAGGGCTATTACCAGCAGATGATAGAGTCAGCAAGTCACCTCATCAACCACCACAGGCAAAACTGTGAAGACTAACTCCAACAATATTTTTTAGACTTATTATGTGTGAAAAATTAGTCGTAGATATGTGTAGTTATTAGTATATTCAAGGTATTACGTACTCTTGGCATACATTTCAGCCTTACAAACTTTTTAAATAACACAAGAACTCTTATGACTGTGTTACTAATAAACCATGGTGACATGATCATTGACCCAATTTTTGAGCAGCTTTAAAAATTCATAAAAAATCCAATTTTGATAGGAATCCGCTCAAACTTTCTACACAACATAAAAATATGTATATGCATCAGAAAAAAATATAAAAATAAGGAATTCTCTCCTAGTCATTTTTTGTGAAATTTGGCCAAAATCACTGTACTATAGTACAGGGACTTTGGCCCAATTTTAGAGCAACTTTAAAAATTCATAAAAAATCCAATTTTGATTGGAATCTGCTCAAACTTGCTACACAACATAAAAACATGTACATGTGTATCAGGAAAAATTATAAAAATGAAGAATTCTCTTCTAGTCATTTTTGGCAAAATTTAGCCAATGACCCTGTAGTACACAGGGGCTTTGCCCCCTCTTGAGCTAATTTATTTCATTAGCTTTACACACAACATATCAATTAGCTCCCTGACTACAACATATCAATTAGCTCCCTGACTACAACCAGGCAGGCTTCAAAAACCACTATATTATCACGTTATTAGTACTAGCATTACATAAAATATTACCACATACATGTACGCTCAGTGTATCCTTCCTTTCTTTGCCCCTAGGAGAGAGAATAAGCTAAAAACTTGCTATGCGAGTTTGTCATAATACAACGTAGCTCCTCATAATTATAATTTAATAAAAATAATAAGAACAACAATAACAACGACAAATAACAATAATAATAATAACAACAATAAAAGATTAATAACAGTAATAATACACTAACAGTTAGTAATCAAAAAGGTCAGCATACTCCTTCACACCCCAGCACTGGAAGACAGGAAGAGGAGCAGCAAAATGATTGAGAACAGGATGAATGAGAGGAGGCAACAGGACCAGTGGTAGGAAATACGAGCGGGTCTTGACGTCCGACCACTCAGTTAATGAGAGGATCCCACAAGAGAGGAGTATAATGGAACCAATGACAATGAGCCACTCAATACCCAGTATGTACACTTTGAATGTGTTCTATAAAAATACATGTAAATAATCAAATAAAAATATTGACAATGTTCTACTTAAGCATAAAAGTTTGATTGGTAATTCCAAAATGAAATGCATATTATTTGCAAAAAATACTGGCTCAATATTAATTGTAATTGACTCACTGACCTTCATATCATCAAATTTGTATATGTGCAATGAGGTAGAGAGAACAGCAAATGATCCAATGGCAAGAATTATTGTCACATAATCAAAGGTATAATCTAAACAGAGAGAAACAAAATAAAAAGGATAGAGAGAGGAAGAGAGAGGAAGAGAGAGGAAGAGAGAGGAAGAGAGAGAGAGAGAGAGAGAGAGAGAGAGAGAGAGAGAGAGAGAGAGAGAGAGAGATTTGTCAACACATATGTACAAAGCAGCTTACAAATGAGTCCAGCAAGAGTTCCATGTATTAATAATACAAAGGGGTACATGATGAGCCACACATACTCTGTCCTAGCAGAGAAGTACTCTCTCTTCTCCTTAGACCATGCATAGTAGGAATAAGACAGTGCAGTGATAAGGAAAGGAAGATGGAGGAGGAAATTCCAACCAAGGAATATAAAGACCATGCTGTATCTAAAAAGAAGAAAGACATGAATATAGATTATTTTTGACAAACAATTATAATTTTGTATCCCATTTTTCCCTCTTTCTCTCTCTTCCTTCTCTTACAATGGATAGACGACCTCATAAGAACACTTTAATGAGTGAACATAGTCAACACTTGGATTAAAAAATATCGGATAAAAGTCGTTAACTGATGACACACGACAGGAATTGAGACCAACACTACCTGAGAGAGAGAGGATGATTCAAAGTGAAAATAAAGTATGATTTTATGTACATACCTTGAGGTGGAAGGACAAGGAGAGTAAATATGATAGATAAAGTTGTCTCTATTGCTGGAATAACATAAAAAGGACTGGAGAGAGAGAGAAGAGAGAGTCAGGAGAGTTGGGAAGACAAAGGGAGAAGAGAAGTACATGTAAATGTAGTTAATAATGTAAACACGAGTTAAAGAAGAAAAAGAAGTATGTTAATGTATTACAGACTGTTAACTCACATGACTACAGGTGATTTCAGTTTATACCAGTTAGTGAAAGTGACAATGCCTAGTCTAAGGAAGAGCATTACCAGCCCCATGAACACAAGATACAGGTAGTCACGAGGATCCGCTGGACTATCGCATGGACGACACAAACTGTCCTCATCAACTCGATACCCTCTTGGACATGCCTAAAATAGAAAGTAAATGACACTCATCATTTTATTCCTTAAATTATAAATTGATTATCTCTTTACCTGACAAGAAGAGAAACAGGAGTTGGTCAAGTTCAAGCGGCCACAAAACATTCCTGGACAACTAGTCAGCTCGCTACCTGTACAACAAGAGAGAAAGGTTAGGTTTCACTAGAAAAAAGTAACTTCCTTACAATTGGTAGCCATCTTTAGCAGACTCAGTGGTGCTCTTTAATTAGAAACAAAATTAATTAGCTCTAGCCCCACCCATTAGCAGCCACGCCTTTAAAATGGCGTCCATTTACTTTTCACTTTTTGTAGCTTCTTTATGCTTTATTAGTTTTTTGGTTTGTTGTGTAGGAGATTGCAGCCTTTCAAGTTGTTTTTCAAGAAGAGATGAATTCAGAGAGTGTTCAAACATTGGTAAAATAAGCTCAATACAATACATTATATACATTATATATATATAATGATAACAATAATACTAATATTAGGTACTAAAGAATTTGCATATTTAGCGTTTGCAAACATCTCTTCAGATGCCTGGCTAGATAGCCAGTCACTGGTTCCACTTGTTCTCTCGTTGCTGTGTCATGAAAGACAACTCCAATGGAGAGAGCAACAGGTCCCTCCATATTGTGCTTTGATGAATGTAATAGGATCAAGAAACTGCACCAAGTACTCCTGCAATAACTGGTTAGTATGATAACATTATAACATATTTTAAGGCCCAAAATTTTCTTGCAATTAACGAAAATACAATCCTAATTTAATACAGTACAGTATTGCTGGAATAAATTGATTTTTTGAGTGAATTTGTGAAATTTTGGGCCATGAAAACTTGCTATATGCTATACACATGTCAGTATGGGTTCTTGGTTTTTAATCAATGTTGTTTCATTGTTTTTAGTGCTCAGTTTTTATTGTATATTGAAGATCAATGGAGTGCTAATGACACTGTATCATCTTCAGTTATTGATGATGTACTGTCACTGGAGAGCTCTAGGATTGCTCTTGCTCTGGCTGGATTCGTGTACATTAAAAACTCAACTGAAACTGAAGGTATAAGCATGATGTGATTATGTATGTACAAACCAGACATAGTACATCTACTCAAATTCTATCTACCTATAGCCACTTAATTTTGAGGGTACAATTTTGCTTTTTTCGCGGATTTTCCGTATCCACAAAAGTTAATTCTATAAAATTATCGTATCACCATGTATTGTATGTGTACTTGCAAAAAAAGACTTGTGGCCTGATTCGTGAAAGTTTATTGCCTTGAAACTTTGTGGCTATACGGTACTCTGTATCTACTTGTATTTTATTTTTTTAACTGGTATTTACTTGTATTTACTTTGTAAGTAGATATGTATTTTCATGTATTTTCGTCTACTAAAAACATGTCACTTATTGCAAAAAGCATCGCATGAAATCTTCCATTGCAGTTATTTATTCATGATAAAAGCCATGTGGACACTGAAATTTCATACAAAAGAATGTGTTCTGTTGAAAAGAAAAAATGCAAAATGGCTACCTGCCTGATTAGCACTAAAATGGAGAAGAATAAGCATTAGAGAACAGTCTTTTAAGCCTTTCAGATCATTATTTTAGTATGGATATAATACATGAAAATATTTGAAAATAAATGACAATGTTTTAGGCTGCTCTCCACTATCTACTTGAGCATGAAAATTTTGTAGATAAGATATTCATGTATTGTGTATTGTGTGAAATCTGGTACAAACAGTATGGTACAATGAATAAATGATTAACTGCAGGCTCTGCAGTTTATGCAGCTTATTGTACATGTAATTGTAACTTGTGTGGCCTGCTGCATACCGTATATCTGGTAATTTTCATAGGAGAAAATTTTCAGACAGAAAAAATTCATGTATTTTTATTTTCGCACAGTGGTTCCTGTCCGAAAATTAACAACATACGAAATTTTAAAGATCTTGTAAAGGATCCCACAGAGCATCTCTGCTTGGAAGCTACCATGCTTATTAGACTGTCTGCCAACTGCTGTAGGAGACTAGGAGAGATACTTTAATTGGAAGAAACAAAGCAGCGCCATTTTGTGATGATAGTGCCACATGTCCTGACAATGCACGTGGTGTCTTCTGCATGCAAAACTTGCGCATCAATAAATTAATTTTCATGAATTTTAATTTCGCACAAAGTCATGCATCCGAAAATTAAATACAGACGAAAATTTCCAGATATACGGTAGTTATTGTAAATTGATAATGATAACAAGTCACACACACATAGGCACAATTAAGACAAGTAATATTAACTGTATTTTGTATGCACTGTTACATGTTGCTCATTAAGCATGGAAGGGCGAAGTATTGGTCTTGCTTGTGCTGTGCAGCATTCTTCCATTGCTTTGTAGATATAATCTTTGTCAAAAGTTTTTTTTTTGGCATCAAGATAGACACTTTTAATTGGTACAGCAGTTACACATATTTGTGACACACACTTTGTGAGATGTTCAATCTTTTTTCTTAGTCTGTCATCAAACTGTTTGTTATTTTCGTTGATGTTACGTTCTGTAGAAAGAAAGAAGAGCATGTTGGTCATCTTTGTTTCAAAAAAATGTGAGAGTGCTTTGATTGCATTCTTTTCATTTTCTCTAATCTTTTTTGGACTTTGTAATTTATTTGGCATCGATGTACAGAAAATGATTAAATCTGGATTTTGACATGTTTTATAAAGATGTTCAATTTCACCACGATATACATCATCCTGAATACCAATATCATTGCTGGCGGTGTAGTCATACAGCTGAATTTTGTTATTGCTGGGTAATAATTTGACTGTTGTTCTCTTTATTAGCTGTCGTCCAGATCTATAGCTAAGGTTAATGCGAGGGAAAACTGTTTGGAGACATGTGTAACTAAATTCTTCTTGTCGTACAATAATAATTGAACTTGTGATAACAACAGTGATACTATATGGAACAGCAGCAGTGTCATTTAAAACAAGACTTTCTGTTCTTTTCACTGTAATGTCTTTTTCAGAAATATCTGCAATTTCATCATTACTTGAAGGAGCATCATTTGTATTAGTTTCATTTTGCAAAGGAGTGATATCTTCATTTTGCGATTCTTGAATAGTTTCTTCTGTTGTGTCTTCTTTAGGAATCTGAATCAGATCAGTCTCTTTTTTGTTGAAGGGAGTAACATGCATCTTTTGTTTTACTTTCCTTTTTACTTTCTTTCTGATTTTTCTCTTTTTTCTCGGGGAATTTTGTAATAGCTGTTTTTCTTGATGTTGTTCTTGTTCTTGCTTTTCCAGTTCTTGTTCTTGTTCTTGGCTTTCTTCATCTTGATTCAAAAATTCCTTTTCTAGCTCTTTTTGTATTTTAACTGCTAAAGCTGGATTTTCTCCACCTTGGCCTGCAGCAATAGCCGTTATCAAATCATTCCATGTTGCAGTTTTCCCAATAGATTTTTTGATTACATTTCTTTTTAGCCAGTGCCCAAAAACACTACATAGTTTTTCTTTAGAAGTTTTTTCATCCCGCTCAATATTGTCCAGTATACTTAATTGAACTTCCAGAGACACTCCAATTAGTTTCCAGCGAGATGCAGCACATTGAGCCAGTTTCATACATTGAGAAATATCGTCAATATTTAAAGGTTTTGTTAGTACTGAAGGCATTATTACTGTACACGTATACGGTCTAAATGCAGTTGTTTCAGTTGTGGTTGTGCCACTTTATATGGTGTGACGTTTAAATGTTATTCACTGTTTGAGATGTAAGCTGAATATTGTTTAAATGGCTACTTCAGCAATGATGATATCAGCTGTAACAGCTCATAGTTTTATTGTGATATTTAAATGTTAATTCACTGTCTTGCATATAACTGAGTATGTTGTTTAAGTATAGTGGCTACTACATTTTGTATGTTAGCAATGATGATATCATGCTAATTTCATTAGTAGACTTAAGGAGTTCTAGACTAGACATTTACATGTACTTAAGTCTTGTCCATAACAATGTTCCAGATACTTGCTGATTAATGTCAACCAAATATTGAATAATATACTACATGATTTAGCTGAATTTCTGGCCTTTGCTACATGTATATCAACGAAATAGAACTTTATTGATTAAAATTATGACCGATGCTCGAAAAAATGGTGTCCTTGTGAAAATGCCTTTAGTATACAATGACCCTCCCTCAATTCAAACTAGTATCATTTAATAAGCTATGCAGTCATTGCAGCCGTTATTGTTAATGTAGATTAAAATCATGGTGCCTTTGTTGCATTGTGTTCATTGTATTTATTCATAATAAAGCCACACAAAAGTCGTGTAGCTAGCAGTTAAAAATATTGTTCCAGCTACGTACAATGCATGGCGTGATTATCATTACCGTATACTGGGATATTTTTGTGTTGCTAAATTTTTTTTGTGAACCTTGCATTTGTAAGATTTCACGAAGTAATATTTTTGCAAATAGCTTGTAAACTCCACCACGTGGCAATGAAACTTCAGAATTTCACGATTTTAATTTTCACAACGGAGCAAGAAAACGCAAAATCTGCAAAAATTTTGCTACTCAAAAATTTCCCAGTATACGGTATTCAGTGTATAGTGTGGCACTGCACAACTGAATATTGTTAAATGCCACTGACATAATTACTCTACTATGTGCTTTTATAGATTGCATTATTGACCTGTATATTGAAGTTGACTCTACGTGATTAACTCATTATACATTTGTAATTAAGTGTCCAATACATGAATTGCTTCATCAGCACATATTCATTTACTTTAAGTTTGTAAAAATTGTATTGTTTGTTATGAACAACAGCATGGGAGACGTTTTTTCATGCTTTCAGTATAGCAAAGTATGGATAATAATTATGCAATGAAAATTTAGCCCTTCTATGCATTGCTGTGTCATAGTAACTGGAACTAAATAAACATAATTAATGTTCATTGTGTGTTGGCAGAGGCCACACAAAGCTTTGTTACTGAGTCATTGCATTGCTGTTTGCTTCATTCATAATACATCAATGTTTTATATTAGTTCTCTTGACTTCGATTTATTCAATTGTAGGTAATCCAGTAATGTCAGCAGGTGTCCCTCTTGCATCATGGATATGCTTAATACTAGGAGTCATAGTGTCTTCAGTAATATTCTTCAAACCAATATGGTGGGACAGGTAATTGTAAAGCAATCAGAACTTGGCATCTAGTTTTTTGCTTAATATTTGCATAGATGCCTAAAGAGGTTAAAGAAAAGTGACTGTTGTAACAGATGAAGTCTTATGTTTACAAGAATGCAGAACTTTATTTAAATACATCACATTAATGTAATATTGTTTATTATGAATTGAACATTATCAATTGTCTTTGAACCTAAAGTCTTGGATTTATATATTTCATCAATAATTCTGATACACATTGATGCCGTCATGTTATCTATAAAATTTGAGTCAATTAACTTTTTAAAAATAAATAAATCATTTCACACATGGTAAAATCAAGACAGCTATAATCACATAAATTAATAAAAAAAGAGAACAAGATGCAGTGTGTATGTACATCAGTCTGAATCAATAACTGTAGGAGAAAGGAAATTTATACATCAGTAATAAACTAATAAAATATGCTTACCTTCAGATTGTAAGTATGTTGATATGAGAGTGGGTAGGTTAGGGCTACGCTCTGCCATTGCTTTTAATACTAAGTGTATTTAATGAAAATAGGGTGTAGAATTATTTATATATTATTATTACTTGTTATCCATTGTTTTAAGAGAGGTACAGAGTAAGAAATATCTGATCCCTCAGTGTGTCTGTATGGTATGACAACCTGTAGATACTAACAAAAAACGAAGAAAATAAAATAAATTTAAAAAATAGATACATACTGCTTCATTATTCTTCTCATCAACAACAGAAGGTCTCCTTCCTTTCGACCAAACAAGTGCGAGACTCTTCGAGAGATTCTGTGACAGTATCTGTGACCTACTCCTTGTTCTTGATCTGGGCCTCTCCTCAGACAACCCTGAAGGTCTCTTGGTCTCTGACGATGATACTGCTCTCTTTGGATCAGAGGGTACTCGTCTATGACGTGATGTTCTCTTGTTCTCACCCACACTACTTCCTCCATTAGAACTGGCTCCTGATGGTGCATGACCAGAAGCAATGCTGCTACCGCTAGTCGATATGCTCCCATTGATAGAGGCATGCTTTCTGTCCTGCACTCTCAGGAGTGCTGCTATAAACTTGTTCTTTGTGTCTGTCTCTCGTATTAAAATGTCTCTAGTTTGGAGGAGGGAGATAAGCTCGTCTGACTGATTGTTCACTTTTGTAGACATTTCATCTCTCATTTGGATGAGTTCATCCATTGATAGCATAGACAGCCCTAAAAATACAGAGAGAGATGGAAGGAAAGAGAGAAAGGGAGAGAGGGAAAGAGAAAGGGAGAGAGAAAGGGATAGAGAGAAAGGGAGAGAGAGAAAGGGATAGAGAGAAAGGGAGAGAGAGGGAGGGAAAGAGAGAGGGGGGAGGAAGAGAGAAAACGTAGAAACAAGAAGCAACGAAAAGATTGATAACAGAGATCAAAAAATCTCTTCCTTTTACCAACCTAATGTAGCTTTGTCGTGATCGTATTCAAACTCCACTGGGCTATCAATCCCTCCATTGCACTGTCTGAATAATCCTTGCATGAGATCAGGAGAAAACGACACACCCTCACTATCGCTGTCCCCTTTCTCTTCGTCTCCGTCATCCTGCGTCCAATCAAAAGGTGAGAATGCCGAGAGTTCTAGATCTATAGAGGTACTTTGTTCACTTGCTGTCTGACAATCCTATTTATTGTGAACAGTTAATATTATAATTATGTCTGACCAGGTCTGACAGACAATTAATGCAAGACAATAACAACTAATATACACATAACACACTCAAACAACAAAGCAGATGGTGATCATAATTGACATTCACTGTGTTTCCCACAAAGCGTGCTAAGTGAGCTAAACACCATGAGCTTCATGAGCTGACAAGCACTACAATACAGTACATGGCATTCGGAGCAACTTTAAAAATTCATTAAAAAATCCAAATTTGATCAGAATTAGCTCAAACTTTCTACACAGCATAAGAGCATGTATATTATGTATCATAAATTATTGTATAAGTGGAGCATTTGTTCCTTTTCATTTCTTACAAATTTGGCCAAAATCTCTGTACTATTTATAAAGTACAGGGACTTTGGTCCAATTTTGAGTAACTTTAAAACCCACTTGACAAGTAGCTGCATGAGCAGTTGAGCTCTATGCCAAAATCTAGTGGGAAGCCCTGCATTTACAATTTCACTGCATTATCATAATCATAAGCAATTATAGTCTAATTCTCTCCCTCTCTTTCTGACCTCATTGTGTGCAAGCAAAGTGAGTAAGAGCTGATCCTTAACAAGTGAATGAGACCAACTGGATAAAGAAAGAGACACTGTCGATTTATGAAGTCTTTGTAAAAACCTGCTCAAAATAAACAGAGAGAATCCTACGCTTACTAATCTTAATGCATACTTTGTTTCAACAGCAAGTGGCCCCACTCTACTGAGTGTTGTCGTCTCTTCATTAGACTCGAGAGGGACCTCAAAACAGGTTTTAAAAACAGTTTCTACATTTTTACTGTGACTAGCGGGTGTAGGAAGAGGTGCGTTTGACTCCAGTGGCGGGTCATTGAACGATGCCCAATCAGTAGACGGGTCAGCCTGCTCACCAGTCGTCTCATTTTCGAAAGGATCTTCCCCTGGGCTTTCCTTACCTTGAGTCTCGATATCAATGCCTTCCCATTCCGACCAGGAGGACGTACTAAGGCTCCCCAGCTCCTCCGCCATGATAAGCCTTTGTTTTGGGTGGAGTAGAATAGGGAGACGCCCTTCTTTTCCCCGTACATTGACGTGTTCCGAAGTATACGAAAACCACGTGGTTGCTAGAATATTACTTCCGGTACAAACAGCCACATGTAAAATGTCCAGGGGAAGTAGTGCTGGTTTTGATCGCTTTATTACTATATTCTCACCAGAAGGAAGACTCTATCAAGTCGGTGAGTTCCTTTTTTATTGCTGTTTATTAAAAATGGGCTTTAATTCCCGAGAGATAGTCAGATAGCCATTTTTCTAATTAATGCACATCACCACTTTAGAGTATGCTTTCAAAGCCATTGCTCAAACTGGCTCAACATCCATTGGAGTAAAAGGAACCAATTCAGCCGTAGTAATAACACAAAAGAAAGTCCCCGTAAGCAAATATTAATTAATTAGTTTAATCTATTATTTTTAATTTCTTAAGGACAAATTATTAGATCCAGATAGCATTACTCATTTATTTAAAATTACCGATACTGTCGGCTGTGTCATGACTGGAATGACAGGTTTCCTTCCTTGTGTCTTTATGTTAGAATTCACACTCATTTATTTCACACCTTTTAGCTGACAGCAGAGCTCAAGTGAAGCGTGCTCGACACGAAGCAGCTGAATTTAAGTATCGCTATGGCTACGACATGCCTGTTGATGCTGTTTGTAAAAGAATGGCCGACATTGCTCAGATATATACTCAGAATGCATTCATGAGACCATATGGTTGCAGTTAGTAGAGAGAGAGAGAGAGAGGAGGGAAGGAAAGAGCTAGAGAGACTACACCATATGTTAATTCAATAGTATGTTATGTTAGTGGGTTAATGTTCATAGAGCCATAAATGCAGAGTGAAAAATTTAGATGTTGGAAATTTTGATATGCTGCCATTACATCTATGCTTCATTGCTATGTGAAAATCACCATCACTTGACTTAAAATAATTATACCAGATTATGGTATATTTTTCTTTAGGTATGATATTAATTGGTATAGATGAAGAGAGAGGTATACAGTTATTTAAAACGGATCCAGCTGGTTATTATTGTGGCTACAAGGCAACCAGTGTGGGGGCTAAACAAACTGAAGCTAATAATTACTTGGAGAAAAAAATTAAAAAGAATCCTTCATGGGGCTATCACGAAACAGTTGAGGTGATAAATTGTCTCTACAAAAATTTTATGGGCAAGCTTGTTTATTTTTATTGTGACGTTAGGTTGCTCTTCTCACTCTCTCCCAAGTTCTCTCGGCTGATTTGAAGTCAAACGAAGTTGAGATAGGAGTTGTGACTGAAGACAATCCTGAATTCAGGTTATAGGGAGAGCATAAGGAAGGATTGTGTGATGGCATTTTACTTCTCTTCTTTTAGGATACTCACTGAGAAAGAAATAGACGAGAGGCTTACTGCATTGGCTGAACGTGACTAACTAATGACATATAGATAATTATTATTATCATGATTATTATTATCATTGTTGTTTTTGGCTTTCTGTCTGTGGTCTTGATCCTACTGCCACTGATAATAATAAACTTAATTGGTTCGAGGGACTTGCCATGTTAGCCTTTGCTTCAACTAGGCTAGCAGGCAAACAATTATTGCAATTGCTGCCTTTACATGTATTATGGTTTATGGGTGGGTAGTCTACATTTACTGGATAATTATTTTTACAATAGTTGAGTGCACTAGTAGTGTTATTGGCAATATCATGTGGTTCTTGGTGATTTGATTTCTGGTTCTTCAATATCGTCATCCTCTTCGAAATCTATAAAAAATAAACAAAGCAGTGCAATGCTAATACATAAAACTACACTGTACAGTGGTGAATATTGTTTATAATCATTATTACCTTCTAATTCTTCATCAGGAGTTTCCCTCTTGTTAGGGGCAGACATTACTCTCTTTTCTTTCTCAACTTGTTCCGTCAGGATACCGTTTGCTTTCTCCTTCACAACGGCCAGTGAGCTAGCAAGACAGTCCAAGAAGCTCTCCCTTTCTTCTCCACCGCTGGAAACTGCCTCTGAGATCTTCAGTTCTCTTCCATCACTGAATTTTATAAGACACTCTACACTCATGTTGGCCTTTAATTTTTAAGGGTGTGGCTGATATTCTAGTTTCATAATTCATACATAGATAATAGAGTAAATGATATTCACTCTACTATTTCTATTTCATTTACTCTAATATCTATGTTTCAAACTATAATGTTTATGCTCATACATTTGCATAATTATTTTGCATAAGAAAGTTCACTTATTTTTATTCTAACAAAAATTATTCACATTAAAATCAAATCAATAATTTCTCCAGGTTCCATTCCAGTCTTCCCTCCCTCATCCATGGGAGGCAGTACCGCTAGACCAGTAGCACCTCTCATGCTCAATAGACGACTGCTCCTCTGTAGACCAGTGGACTCTACAGTGGGTGGTACAGTGGACCAGTCAGATATCACAACACGTTGATACTCTGGTCTTGGGTCAAGGCTCACTCTGGACTTTAGCTATATTATAAGGATTGCTGCATCATCATTATAGAACAAGTTTATTATAGATCCATTACTTGAGCTTTTATGGTGACTGATGAAGGGTTAGGATGACCAGCTAGTTTCCTCAAAGCAGGCAGTACAAACAGCTGGAATGTAACTGTGGAAGACACAGGATTACCTAGCAATAGAAAAAAATATATAAATCAAGAGTAGTAGCTTCAAAAAATTTATCTGACAAATTACTACTAACAATACAAGTATTTTGACTATTTTATAACAACTACCTGGTAATGCAAATATCAGTTTGAGTTTCCCATTTCTCTCTACAGTAGCAAATGTAGTAGGTTTCCTTTAATAAAAGCATATACATATATTAAGTACTTGAACTAAGTTTCTCTTACCCTGGTTTCATAAAGACCCTCCCAAAATGAATATTAGCTGAGAAATCTTTTACTAAAACTGGCTTAAGAAGATCCTAACACAAAAATAGCAATGGATAGTCTTTAAATAATAATTAATAACTTTCTCTCCCATTGATACTCCACCAGAGGTAACTAGGACGTCAGCTTTTTCAAGACCAGCTGCAATCTTCTCTACTAACTTCTCCCTCCTATAGCATAGAACTGTATGTAAAAATGTACCAAATTATTCATATTTTGGTTATGATCTTACGTGTCAGGAGCTATTCCAATATCCAACCCTTTAAACCCATTCTTTCTTACAGCTGCTAGTAGTACGTGACGATTACTATCATAAATCTGTCCTGGAGCAAGATTACTCCCTGGATCAACAACCTAAAAGAGAAAGAAAAGGTTGAAACGTGATGCACAATAATAAAAAGTAAAGGCTTCTTAAAAATTATAAAACATTAGTTAAATTTACATGCATTCTTTCTCATTACCTCATTACCAGTTGACATTACAGCAACTAATGGAGTCTTGAAGACATTTATCCTTTCCATTCCAACTGAGGCAGCTAATCCTAGCTCAGAAGGTCCTAGCACTGTCCCTCTCTCTAGGACGGTCTCTCCTTTAGCAATGTCAGAACCAACAGATCTATAAGCAATAAAAAAACATCACAATGTATACTATAATTTTTAACCTGACATCTTCACCAGACTGGACATTAGATAAAATTTTTATTTTCTTCTCAACCGTTCCCTAAAATAAGTTCATCAGTGTACATGTAGTCCACATACACACAGACATTGTAAAAAACAGACACTTCTCATAAATTCCTTTTCTCTAAGCTTACATCATCAGAGCTGGCCAGTAGCTCAGTGTTCTCTACCATAACAACGGCGTCAGCTCCACCCGGTAACGGTGCACCAGTTGTAATACGAGCGACTGTTCCAATGAGGACACATTGTCCAGACTGAGGCTATAGGGAGGGACAGCAGTTTGTACATGCAAAGAGAGAAAGACATACAGATTCTCCTGCAGTGACAGGTGCAAGTACATCTCTTTCAGTTGAACTATCACTACCTATTATGACATGTAGATAATATTACTGCTTTTATATCTACATGTACGGGTGTATGCTGCTTTCTTCTCTCTCCCTCTCTCTCTCTCTCTCAGTGACTTACTGATGACAGCGTATCCATCTTTTATAGAAGCTGGAAAGGGAGGGAAAGGTTGACTAGCAATGATGCTCTCTCCCAGTACACGATCAAGAGCATCTTACACAAAATAATTCTAAGATTATTATTATTAATATTCACCTTCTAGGTTTCTCAGTTCCGTTGACTGTTGTTCTGGAATCTTCTCCATTACAACTTGAAGTGCTTCATGTACTGATAGTAGAGGATATGGGGACTGTCTGGGTCTCATAGCAACTGGATAGAAATCCTCTTTTGCTATATAAAAATATAAGAATCATTAATTTTAAAGTAAAATACATGTACTTATAGCACCTGGTACTTGAAATAAGAAGTATTATTAATGTACTTATGCTATGTAGAAAGTTTGAGTAGATTTCGAGCTCAAATTTTCAAGTTATGGCAAATTTTACAAAGTGCTAAAATTCTGAAAATACCCTGTACTATAGCCCATGGTTTTTTCAGAAAAATGGCTCCACAATAACCCCCAAATTTTATTACATTTTATTGATGTCCTTATGCTGTGTAGAAAGTTTGAGTAGATTTTGAGCTCAAATTTTCAAATTATGGCAATTTTTACAAAGTGCTAAAATTCTGAAAAATACCCTGTACTATAGCCCATGGTTTTTTCAAAAAAATGGCTCCAAAATCACCCCCAAATTTTATTACATTTTCTGATACATATTGATGCCCTTATACTATGTAGAAAGTTTGAGTAGATTTCGAGCTCAAATTTTCAAGTTATGGTAATTTTTACAAAGTGCTAAAATTCTGAAAAATACCCTGTACTATAGCCCATGGTTTTTTCAAAAAAATGGCTCCAAAATCACCCCCAAATTTTATTACATTTTCTGATACATATTGATGCCCTTATACTATGTAGAAAGTTTGAGTAGATTTCGAGCTCAAATTTTCAAGTTATGGCAATTTTTACAAAGTGCTAAAATTCTGAAAAATACCCATGGTTTCTTCAAAAAAATGGCTCCAAAATCACCTCCAAATTTTATTACATTTTCTGATACATATTGATGTCCTTATGCTATGTAGAAAGTTTGAGTAGATTTCAAGCTCAAATTTTCAAGTTACTAGCATTTTTTAAAATGCCAAAATTCTGAAAAATTCCAAAAAATGACTCAAGAATCACTTTAAATTTTAATTACAATACTAATGCCATCTACACATTTGGACTGATTTTATAAGTTATGAGCATCAACCTGGCATGCTTAAAAGTGGCAAATTTTGTCCATTTTTCCCAAAAAAATTTAAAATGAAGTGACTTCAAAATTTTACTAACAACCACGGACTTTTTAACAACTTACTTCTTCCAATAGTTTTAGTGGTGGAATGATACTTGCCATGGCCACAGGTGTGACCGCCATGCACCTGCATTGAGTTATGGGTATGATCAACACGTGAAGAAACATCAGAAATCAAATCTGTAAAGTAAATTTAAGAATTAATAATAATTACTACACAATATACCTAAAGCGTGAGAGAGAGAAGGAAGAGCAAAATTGAAGCATTCCTAAATATAAGTAGTAAGAATAGTTCCATTATCAGAGGATAATATTATACCTCAGCTCCTTTCTTGCTTCCTGGTAGATTAATAATTAAAGTCGACCTCCTGATTCCAGAGGTTAACCTACAGTAGAATAATGCCATTATTTTCCTAATTAAATACTTATTGTTCCATTACCTAGAGAGCATTGCCATTGGTGTAACTTCTAATGATTTTGTGATCATTGCTATGGACAGACCTGGTGCATCTCTTTCTATTACCTTTTTAGTAGCCTATAGAAAAGGGGGCAGAGAGAAGAGAAATGATACTAAGAGTCAGTGTGTCAACTATTTCGTTAATAGCAAGAGTAGATATCTTTTTTTATACAGGTACTTTAGGTATAATGTTATGTATAATCGTTATTGGGTGTGTCTTTCTTTAGCTAACTTCTGGTGTCACGTCTCTAGGACTGAAACCTGTTCCGCCTGTTGTAAGAACCAGACTCAGACCTGCTCTATCAGCCCAATCCAACAAAGCAGCCTATCACATTGTGCATTAACAAATAAGGGAGTTTGAATAAATTTGATAATAACTACTTCAATCAATTCTGCCTCGTCAGGAACACACTTTGTTAGTACATCATTAAAACCTAACCTTGTGAAGAACTTGTGATTAAAAATACTACGTTGTGTCGTTTTATGTTTATATATTATTGTAGTTATCAACATTTTATCATTTTAACATCTGCTGTACATTGCTTTAAAATTAGTATAATAAATGTCAACTTAAAATTATGATATTTTCTTATACATACTTTGATGAGTTTATTAGTCTCACGAGGTTTGGTCCACTTGTATCATTAGCCTCACCTTTAGAGCATCTATCACTAACTGTGTGTCATAATTCAAAACACGTACATCATTATTCACATTGTACCAGTTAATACACCAGCACTTCTGGCAGCCATGTTTCTCTTTCACACTCACACCCATCAAGTCATCAACCACTCCCCAAGCAAAAAAGAATATAACAAAACTTTATAATGAAGTAATTGTAAGTTAATAGTCTAAGTTAACTAATAAATTAATAATAGTTTTTGTAAGATCTATTATTACTACATCTATTATTGTAACAGTAACATTATAATCATCGGTCCTGATAAATAGCTACTTCAATGCTTGTCTCCTAAGTCAGGATGCAAATATTCTATAAAAAGGTAGAGTTAGGGAGAAGATAAGTATAGAGTAACATAACAAACTCACTTGATTTTGCCTTTGCCTCTTCTGTGGGTAGAAAATAAAGAATCACTAAAATTAGCTTAGTGAGTCTTCCAAAGGCTTACCTGTGATTGGTATCTTGTAGATAAGATACCATGTGATCAAAAAGCCCAAACAAAGCCCTTTGATCGGTTTCATATGATGGATGGTATTCTTTACAAAGGCCATAGCTGCTGCAGATGAAAACACCATCTTGATTTTTATAGCTTTAACCACACCCACAACAACAAAACTAGATTTTATAACTAGTTTATTAGGCAATCGCATCACTAATCACTATGCATAGCCTATGCTATCTATGCATATGGACAGCAATTTTGCATTCTTTCCTTGGGCAAGAACTAAAAGATGTCTTTCACTACTCGTTTTCTTTATTCTTTCGTATATTTGCTGTTTGTAATACCATTTCTCTGCCTCCTGCGAGGGCTGCCTGCTAAGAACTCTCTCAAAAAGCTGAACTCCATTTTAGAGGGAATCAAAAAGGGACAAATAGCTCACAGGTGCTAACAGTAATTCTATTATCATCCTTCATTGTTTGTACAGAGGTGGCATTCCCGAGAATACACTGACTGCCTTTAGAAAATCAAAGAGAACCGGAGCCACCACAGTTGAGGTAAGCAGTACTTCTTTTGTTTCCACAATGTCATAAACAATCAACTAAAGGTTGATCTTCAAATGACTAAAGATGGTCATCCTGTTTTATTTCATGATGATGAAACCGATGAACTCTGTAATGGCTCTGGCCAACTCAAAGACATGACAATGGAAGACGTTAAGATACTTGATATAAAAGGGTAAGGCAATAAGCTATCATTATGGGATGCTTCCTATAAAAATATTATTATAGTTATCCTGATGCTAAAATACCCACACTACATGAAGCTATAGATGTCATTAAAGAGGAAGACATGTACATGCTCCTAGAAATAAAGGACTACAACAGCCAAGTAGGTAAAATAAATCACATTCGCCCCTCTCATATCCTCCATAGACCCTGAATATCATTACTAATCTTTTTAAAAATGATGATCACTTGTATGAGAGGATAATCGTCATCTCTTTTTTCCCTCATATCATCTATCAGGTTAGCCTATCCCTTATGTTTATGCAGTATATTATGAAACTTGACACCTTGCATTTTTCTTGCTTGAGCATACACTGCCCCACCCTAATTATTCATTCACCTCAGTACAATATTCATGATTACCTTAAGGAGACAATTATTAGCATGTATTTATTTTAACGATTTTTGTGATACTGACATTTGGTTGGTATTTAATTTATATTTAACATTAATAACTATTAATAATTTAAAGTTAGTGCTGACTTAAGTTAGCAATTTTGTATAAATCACTAAAATCTGCTAAATTAAATACCTGCTAACAATTTATTGTCTCCTCAAGGTAGTTACGTGAGTTTATATTAGCTAACTGACTTACTAATCATAATTATGGCAGAGATACTATAATAACCTATTAAGTTGTACAATTACAAATTTACACACATAAAGTATGCATGCCATTTTAATTTGTGAGTTTCAAGATTTGTAATGTGCATCTTTTGTTTAGGTAAAGAGGTCTGATTCTAACATCATGGTAGGCCTTGTAGTAATGCAGACATTACTGGTGGATGAAGCTGGTCCACTCTATGCTAAATGGAAGCTGAAGTTGCTGAGTGTTTTTGACTATATAATAGGGAAGATAATGATTGGTTCCTTTGTACGAAAGCTAATCGGTTTGAGTCTCATTCTACCTGACAAAGATGATATAATATTGAAAAGGTTTCTAATGTTTTGTTGCAGTTGAATGATACTTTACTTTGTCTTTTTTTCTCATAGAATTGATATCAAACATTTAGAGGAAGAAGGTGTGAGGCTGATAACGTGGACCGTTAATTCAGACGAAGACAAGGAATATTTCAATAACAATCTCCATCATATACCATACATGACTGACCATGTCACATCATCCCATTCCCCTCAATAATTATTATATTTTTATCTAGATTGCTGGCATATTTTAAATACTTTTTACTTTTTTAAAAGCAACAATAACCGTCACATCATCCCATTCCCCTCAATAACTATTATATTTTTATGTAGATTGCTGGCATATTTTAAACACTTTTTACTTTTTTAAATTAACAATGACCGTCACATCATCCCATTCCCCTCAATAATTATTATATTTTTATGTAGATTGCTGGCATATTTTAAACACTTTTTACTTTTTTTAATTAAAAATAACCAGTACAAACAATTGGCAGAAACAACTGGCATCATAAGACTCAGTTGTATTAATTATTACTTTCACCCACGCATAATTTTATTAGCCACACCCATGTAAAAATACTAATGCAAATATTCGTGAAGGTTGCTCGCTGGAAGATGAATCCTCTTGCTCTTCGTATAATCTCCTCCTTCACATACTTCGTATTTGTAGTTCCATGTCACTTTCTCTTCAGAGGATTCCTCGCTAGAAACTCTCTCTCAAAGCTTGACTACATACTGGAGGGAATTAAGAAAGGGCCCATAGCTCACAGGTGCAATTTTGTCAGCTAATAATTTTTATTTTTAAATACAAAAAATGATTCTACAGAGGTGGGATTCCTGAGAATACATTAACTGCTTTTAGAAAATCAAAGACAGCTGGTGCCACAGCAGTTGAGGTAGATAATAATTATTATGATGTTATCTATATATATATTATTTTGTTATTATAAAAAGGTTGATCTTCAAATGACTAGAGATGGTCATCCTGTTTTATTTCATGACGATGCAATCGACCGACTCTGCAATGGCTCCGGGCAACTCAAAGACATGACACTGGAACACATTAAGACACTCGATGTAGACGGGTATGTATGTACATGCACATGTACATGTACATGTATCTATTGCCAATTTTGTTTAGATAGTAATTACAGTTGGCTTGGGATTATCTACTTAATGGCAACATCAATAAGAATAGGCAATTTTATTTTGTCTGATGCAAACACAATTAACATAGTAATAGTACTAATAATGGTCATGGTCATTCTTAGTAAATGTAGTTTAAATGTTACCTGCTGTTTTCTGTAGTATTCACTTTGCTTGCTTCCTCTTATAATCTGATATGAAACCATTCAATTTAGGCATGCAAAGATACCTACTCTACACGAAGCCATCAGCGCTATAAAGGAGCTGGAGATGTACATGCTCCTGGAGGTGAAATGTTATAACAATCAAGTATGGGAAGGATATGATCAAAGAGAGTAATTAATTTTCTTTTCCATCTCCCACTTCTCCTAGACTGTTAACATTGTCACTGATCTGTTTAAAAGTGATCCTGAGTTATACGAAAGAATCGTCGTCATCTCTTTCTTTCCTCATATTCTCTACCAGGTAGTTACTTAAAGCAGCTCCCTACAGTTAATACTGTACCTATTATTGCATTGATGACAGATAAGGAGAATTGATCCAGATATCATTGTGGGTCTTGTAATACGACAGACTGTATTTACTGTTGATCCTAACAATCCCCAAAAGATCACTAACAAGTGGAAGCTGATGCTACTCAGGGCTGTTGATAGAATAGTGGCAGGCCTTCTTTTGGGATTTGTGAGGAAAGTCCTTGGACTGAGTCTTATATTGCCTCATAAAGTAGACATTTTGGAGGAAAGGTACGTATGTTAAAGATGAAACTACATGTAAAGCATTGTTGGTCTTTCTCTTAGAGTTGATGTAAAATACTTTCATAAGGAAGGAGTGAGGCTAGTGACATGGACTGTCAACTTGGACGAAGAAAAGGAGTATTTTAGCAATGTCCTCCAGCTACCTTTTATGACTGACCACGTGCTCTCACAAGAACTACAGCAATAATAATAGAATAATAATAATAACAATAATAAATGATAATAATTCAGGCCATCACTAGTAGTTTTAGCTCTAATCATTGAAGCAGAAAGTATAGCACATGCTCAATTGCTCTTTGTCAGTAAAGTTTTGATTTTATTATTCAGACATCATCAAGTCATAATAATCATTATTATTATAATTATATTTACTCATTCAGTCATTTTGTTTACTCATTCGTGCCTTATAGTGTAAAGGATACTCTAGACATAATGCTCCGTCACTGTGAATCAGTTGATATAAGACGATTATAATAATAATAATAATAATAATAATAAGAGGAGGAGGAAGAGTTTTATGTGATAATAATAATATAATTTTAAATCTTGTAATAGTGTATAATTATATCCTATTGATTGGTTCTCTGTACATAATAGGGTTTGCCGAGAGAAGGGAGGTGAGTGGGACCAATCTGATGATGTCTTCCAGTTGGAAACATTGTATTTGACTAAAGGGAAAGAAAGTGAAAGATGAAAATACATGTACATGTAAAATAATAATTATACCTTTGCTGAAGGATTAGTACTAGCTAGTAAAGAAGGGAAGGGTGAGATATGGGGTTGCTGATGCCTGGCTATATGAGATGGGCCGGCTTTCATAGATTGAGCTAATGACGGTAGTCCAGTGCTTAGGCCACTATTGACTCCATGGAGGACTTGCTGCTCTCCTTTAACCTGGAGCTGAGGTGGTTTGGGTAACTGTGGCAGAGTCAGACTACTCATCATGGAGCCATGGACTCCAGGAGGAGGGCCCTGGGCCTGACTAGCTAGGACTGGTATGTAGTATTGTCTCTGTTTTACTGGAACAAACTGTAATGTAGGAATTCATATTCTGTGTATGGGTATTATATATTTTCTTAGTTACCTCATCTCTTTCTCTTTGTTTCCCTCTCCCTTGCTTGTAATGCTTCTGCAGTAGAGAGAAGGAAAAAGAAGAAAATGAGAAGGAAGGAGAGAAAGGAAGTTGGATGTACGTGTAGAGAAGTTGTTCAGAGGCATACATTGTACATGCTCCAATGTTGTGTAGAGCTTTTGAGCTGATTCTATAATCAAAATTACTTTTTTAATGAATTTTAAAGTTGCTCCAAAATTGGGTCAAAGTCCCTGTACTATAGTACAGGATCATTGGCTAAATTTTACCAAAAGTAGCTACATGTAGAAGAGAATTCTTCATTTTTATAATTTTTCCTGATGCATATACATGTTCTTATGTTGCGTAGAAATTTTGAGTCAATTCCAGCCCTGCCTCCAATTTTATTGGAAGCAGGTACATATACATGTGTATATACATGTAGCAGTCATTAGTGAGTGATTCCTTGTAAAATGGCTTACATGTTGATGCTGCTGCTGTTTCATTGATAACTCTGGTTGCATGACATCTGACTTCAAACGTAGCTTGGACCTTCTTTCTGCCTCCCTATAATTAAAGAAAAGAGAGAGAAGGGAAGGTTGAAGGAGAAAAAGATATTAATGATCCAATGCTGACAGACATAAGTGTATTAACTACCTTAATTCTTTAAAATAAGGATGCCGTAAAGTTTCTTTAGCACTTGGTCTATGTAAAAAATAAAAAAATAATAATAAATTTTAGTCTCAGTTGTACTGTACGTGCATGCTACCTTTCTTCTGGATCATAAGTACAAAGTTTGGTAATGAGATCAATGCACTGCTTTGATGCGTGCTTCAGTAATATTGATATACCAGTTGGGTGCTTGTATGGGAAATTAAAATCCATACTTTTAGACTGACTGTTAGTATTGGAGAGAGAGAGAGGTATAATACACAATGGATCATGAACGATTTTAATATAATTCATTACATTTTACGAAATTTGTCCAGGACTTGCGAGGAAGGAGTACCAACAACATCGTGTATCTTTGATATCTGATCCAACTCATTTGATCCGGGAAACAACGGTCTGAGACTAAATGAAAAATAAATCAAATACACTTCTATATAATTATAATGAAACTTCTTTCCATACTTTGTTATATCTTCCACTCTCTCTCTCTCTCTCTCTTTCCCTCTCTTTCTCTCTCTCTGTCTTTCTCTTTCTTTCCCTCTCTCTCTCCCTCTGTCTCTCTCTCTCTCTTACCTCATTAATTCAAAAAGGACACATCCAACACTCCACATGTCCATCTTGTGTCCATAGTGTCCGTCAGTTAGCAGACACTCTGGTGCTCTGTACCTACATATACAAATGAACGTGTGTATTAATGGGCTCAGTGCATTAATAACTTGCCATCTAGTTGATATGTACTCTGTGAAAGGGAGTTTTGAATACATACTCTTGCATGAACCAAAATCAGCTAATTTTAGTAGATCATCCTTTTTGGGGAAAAATTATAACATACAAAATCATAATTATGGAGACTTGACCACTCGTACATGTAGGTACATACATGTACATGTACATCAATTACAGTACATGCATACTTTTATTAGTATGTTCTCTGGCTTGACATCTCTGTGAAATATACCATTCCTGTGCATGTGATACAGTGACTTGCATAATTGATACGTATACAAACGAACGCGTGCTTCTGGTAGATATGACCTCCGGTCTAAGAGAGAAAGGGAAAGTTAGAAGTACATGTATATTACACTGTACTTGTATTATTATGACTATTATTATTCAACTGAAAGATATACAATCAGTATTGTTTTCTTTTCAGAATTCAAAACTTTATAGTTGATTTTAAATAAAGTTATAGCATGGGACTCATTCATTTTGCTTTATAAATGCACGAATGAATAAGCTTGTTTTTATAATTATGTAGCAATCATAATGTGCTACGTAACTGAACACATGATTCAGGCACGGTGACATCAATTTAGATATTATACTAATCTACCTTTAATAAGCTCGTAAATATTCATATTCATCAGTTCACATATTAAAGATAGCGTGCCAGTCTGTCTGTCACTGTGTCAAGAAAGAGCAAGGATTGATAAGTACTCTTGATTAAGAGAGCATCAACTCACAAGATTACTTCTTTTAGTTCTATGACGTTTGGATGAGGATTAAGTCTCCGAAGTGCTTGAATCTCCCTCAGGTTATTGACTTGTGTCATACTAATAATAAAGCAACCATCATAGGGTAAGTCTTTATCCTTCTTCTCTCTCTCTTACTTGCTGTATTTTTGTTTCATCTTCTTGCAGGCGTACAGTTTACCGTCGAGAAGACTCTGACACTTGAGTACTTCCGAGAAGGTTCCTTCTCCCATGGCACCTACAACTCGATAGTCTTGAATGAAAAAGAAAAGAAAGAGACAGAGGGAGAGAATAGAGTTTATTTGTGAATAGTATAATCAAAAAGCATGAATTCCATCACTTTATATGGGGAATCCAATACAAAAATAATAATTTTAGGCAAAAGAAATTCATGCTCGATCCCCCTGGCATATAAACAGTACAGAAAAATAGCTACTGACTAGAAACCAAAATACATAATCAAACTGTGAGCATGCAAACTACACAAGTAATGTCTCATGGTCGAAAAAAACTTCACAGCCCTGATAGAATATATGAGTGATAGGTTGACACTTTGTAGATTCTCAATAAAGACTCTTAGCTGGCTAAAAACTCACCTCCCACGAGTGGAAGTGTCTCTGGCATTGCTCTATATAAACTCAAAAGCTAGCAAAGTGTAAAGGAAGAGAACAAGAAAGGCTAGATGGCCACTTGTTTATCAACTGTGGTCCCGTTGCTAGGCGTTACTAAGGACTACCCACCATTGTAAAGAAGCCACGCCCCGCTTAAAAACAAAAGGGACTTACGTTTGAGCCCTTCTGCTCCAGAGCCAGCACCACCATAACCTCTGTACATATCACAGGAGCCTGGGTTGCACTCGTCTGTCAGTCCTCCTTCAACTTGTTGTCAATTGAACACGCACACTCCCTGAGGTGCGGCTAACATCCTCATGAATTCCCTTACTGCCTCTATGTGGTGTCTACCTAGAGAGTTGAGGTCGGCTAGGATCGACCTCTTTTCTAGAAAGGCTCTCCTCATCGCGAGGTCTCTTAGCAGCTCGCCCTTACCTCCTCCTCCCTCTATCACTCAAGATGGCAAGAGTTTAAGTATCCCTGACCCCTCCTATCCTGGTCGCTATCATGCAATATGGCTACGCCACCATTGCCAGTGTCCGGAGTGCATGGCATCAACAGGACAGAGGACCGTACCATTATCTATTTTGAGCGGCAGCGTGAGACTGACGGGTGCAAAAGTGGAAGGTACAGTGTATGAACATACACAATCATCCTTCCTCCTCCTCCTCAGGTAATAGACTACAAATGGACTGGGAGCTCACTAATGGTGATCCTCATTCCGGGTACATAGACATGGACTGGTTGAAGGCTAATAACTATTCTAAGGAGTCTCTATCAGCATATAATGCATCCATTGAGCCAACTGTTGGAGTACGTTTATCACATTTTTCCTTTATTCAGCATTGTATTGAGTGTCTCTAGTGATGAAACTCCTCATTTACAGTATCCATTATTGTTTGATTGTATTTATTCATTCACAACTCCATGCATCCCAATAGCTTCTATGCATTAGATCAATGTCATCCATTGATTTGATCTATTTATGTATCCATTAGAAAACCCTCCCTGTTATGGAACACAAGGAGATAATAGATTCGACTGGAGGACTTTGGAAGTACGACTAGTAGTATATATTAATGAATGAGTGTTTGTCTCTCCAGGTGGCTGTATAATTTGAATAATACAGGAGCCTGTCTGATAAAGAATGTCCCTCAGGACTTGAGCTCTTATAGAAAAGTTAGCATTAATTTGAAAGAGAGAAATGCTGAGACAAGAGAAACTAGAAGAGATAGTGTTTCCTTCCATGATCTGTACCTCATCATGTTCTTATGCTGCATAGAAAGTTTGAGCTGATTCCAATCAAATTTGGATTTCTTAAGTTGCTCCAAAATCGGACCAAAATCCCCTGTGGTCTTTGCCAAATTTCACCAAAAAAGGAAATTTGGAATCTGGAATTCTCTCAAAAGGGAGAGAATTTTCAATTTTTATAATTTTCCTTTCTCATTAGATGGTGGAAAGTGTCTGCCCAGTACTCAAAACTATATATGGAGAGGTAAGGACTTCTCTCAGTTTTTTTGTGACCTATAATGTTGTACACGTAGTTCTTTGATGTCAAGATAGAGACTGACCCAATCAACATTGCATATACTGATGAAGCACTTGATTTTCACATGGACTTGGTCTATTACCAGTCGCCTCCAGGCATCCAATTATTGCACTGCATTAGGTAATCCATTGATTGTATTAATCCATTCATCTCTTTTGTTCCTTTGATGTGGTCCAGGAATGATTCGTGTATTGAAGGTGGCCACTCTCTTTTACTGGATGTCCTCCCTGTTGTCGAGGAAATGAGAAAGAATCATCACGAAGAATTTTTGACCCTTACTAAAATCCCGGCTACTTTTCAGAAGATTCATTTTGAAAGGTAGTAGCCTATTGCATCATCATTACCTCATCATTGCCTTGCTAT